CGGATTCATCAAATAATACTTTGTAAAAAACAAACGTCCGTGCCGTATAGCGTGAATAACCCTGTATAATCTTCCCCCCAACAATGATAATGATTAATTCTTCCATTGCCTTAAACCCCCGTCAAGCTGCCCGGTTATTAATACTTTGCCCATCTGGGGCTCATATTTTATTAAACCCGAACACACGGAACGGCTGGAAGTATTTCTGGCCTTTCGGTAGCAAAGGGCTGAGCATCGATTCGCGATTTTCAGCCATTCCGGTGTAATGGAGATGAGGGCTTTAAAGGTCCCTTTCGTTTGTCAGTTTGACCGGAAGGGCGCATTTTTCGAAAAGTTCGCAAAAGAAAACTTTCCCAAGTTAATGGCAGTAAAGCTGGCGGGGAACTAAAACGCGCAAGCAACCAGGAAGTCGTTGCAGAAACTTTCCGGGTTAAAATGTTAATGGAGGAGTAAAAGGACGCAATTTTCAACGGGATTGCAAATTTCTCTCGTTTTTTGTTCGTTTACGAGTTGCAACTTGTATTAGTTGCTCAACGAGAAGCTCAGCTACAAGATCGTTAAATAAACATTGGAAGCCCCAATTTACCAACGGGAATATTCAATGATCTCACCTACCACTTGTCTTTGCTGCGACTGGTCGGGTCTGGCCCCTTTCGGGGGCTTCCCAATCGGCAGGCCCTCAGGAGTTCTGGTGGCCAAAATCTCCCGCAACTCATGCAGGAAAGCGCCGAAAAAGGGCACCACTGGGCACTCGGCCATCGCAAGCGCCCTGCTAAGGGCCCGATCATACTCTACAGAGTAAAGGGCCGCGTTCAAGAAGTTGAGGATCGGGAGGGTGTCTTTTTCGGTGATGGACAGCCAGAACGGCTTGAGTTTATTCGAGCTGCAAAACCACAATATTTTTAGCATTTTTCAACGAATTTTTCGAGTTTTAAACTGAAAACTGCTTTCAGTCCGAAGCGCCATGACTTTTCACGACTTATTCACCTTTGGCGCCTTTAGTTTCCTGTTATGAAAAACTTTGAAGGGTTTCTTCAAACTGTCGCAGTCAGCGATGTGGTTCCGATGAAGAGCAAGTAGTTTCCGCCGGCCTACAACTCGAAAACTGCTGGAGGCCGAAAGAAACCCCTGTTCTTCTAAAGGAGTTCGTCTTCTGATGACTTCTTCAAGGGGGGAAAAACTTATCCAGTCCTCGTCCTAAAAGCTGCGCTTTCGCCGATGCAAATGCGAATTTTAAATGGCAATGAATCCGTCTGACGACGATGGATGTAAGTCCCGTTGAAGATAAAAAGGTAATCTTCTCGACACTCGGAACTCAACTTTAAAATTCGCCAAGCCGCCCGAAAAGCTCCTTTTTGTAATGGCAAATCGATGGAAATGCGAGGCCGTTTCGCCTTTTATCAGTCGCACGAAGTGAGGAAACTGATAGAAATGATCGACCTTATGGAAACTTTGCCGCTATTAAAACGCTTTGAATCTCGACCGTTGCGACTTGGTTTTGTTTCGTGAGATAACATTTTCGCCAAGTTGAAAAACCACCCCAGCAAATATTAAATAAATGCACTGTCGAGTTGACCCGGCAACTTTCTGCTCTAAATTCGACGTGCATCTGCAGTTAAAACTTTAATTTTTGGCCGCAGTTTCAGATTAGAGCGATCCACGTGCGGCTCGTAAATATATGAATTTGCATTGAAATTGCGTTGCCCAGCGAAATTTCTCAACCGCTTTGTGTGAATGGAGGTGCTTACTTGAAAGCGGCGATGATTTCCATTGCTCCCATGAAGTTTCCAATGTTCCATGAGGACAGAGCCACTCGCAGGATGCACGAAACCACTGCTCTTCTTGCATCGTGAGTTGGCTGCGATATGATCAGTTGGGTCACCCAAGCACTAACCTGGAAAGGAACCAGCAAAACGTTTCAGACGTTTCGCTTACGTACGCACCAATCAGCATTAAATTGAATGGGAAATTTTCAAGCGGTTCATTCACCCGCAATTTTAAGTTTCGCGAAGTCAGAGCCATCGATTAAATAAGTCGTATTCTCATTGACAGTCCTTAATGGAAAAGAGTGGAGAGTAGAAGAATGTTTGATGGAAGTGATAAATGGATCTCTGGGCAACATTCCAGCGGGATTAAGACGAATTATTTCGGGTCGACATGTAGTCGAAAAGTTGCGTTGAAGCCACCATTAAGGGACCAGTTCGTTCTTGAAAACACTCCAATAGCTAATAAATAAATCGCATAAAGCAGAAATGGAACAAATGGGGAAATTAAACATAAACCGCAGATGAAAAGCCCCAAAATCCGGTGTATTTAAATCATTTTTGCAGAAGAAAGAACTTCAATAGTGCGCACCATTTATCATCGAAAAATCCTGCGAATTAACTGAAGGCGGCGTTAAAGTGGCAATTTTTCAATTCTAATTAGAGCTAAATTCCTTTTGAGTTTTTCCGATTCCCTCTTAAAAAGAACAGCGGACGATAATTATTTATTATCAGATTAGTCGAAGGCTTAGCTAGCAAACGTCGGCAGCTTGAACTTGTGCATGTTTTCCCTACTTTGATTGCGTGTTTTCTTTGGAAGCTTCGCGTCCAAATAAATGAGGCAAAACATCAACTGCAAATATGCCCAAAGGGGCATGTTTGACGGCACAGGGGGAAGCATGTGGAAGATTGAATTATCCACGCTCTAAGCAATCAACACGAAGGATTTTTCACAATTCCATGTTTCAGCGGAAAGTGAAAAAAAGGAGTTTGGAAGTTTTCTCAACGGTTTAACTCGCAGGGGCAACGGCGTTCGTCTTGTTCAAACAAAGTGTTTCCGAAAGAAAAGTTACAAAAACTGCAATGGGAACTTTGTTAACAAAAGAATTAAGTTTTGCGGCTTTTGCTCCAAACTGGTTATAGAGAGTTAAATTTGTGTGTTTATCGCTTTAATCCTGCAAATAAGAGTTTGCTAAATTGTTTAACGTTTCCCTAGCACGCATGGCTAGCATCTTCAGATATGTTCTCGCTTCAGACGCTCACAAGCAGAAGTCAACGCTGATTAGAACAAATTAATATAAACTGCGCTTCCCATTCAGGAATGTAGTTGAATCGGTTCAACATCGGTTCTCTCACTCGCATACATAGCATTCTAAGGGAGATGCAAGATCATTTGTGTCTAGCTGCGTTCCAACTTGATACCTTCGCGGCTAGAAATATATAAGTTTTGAGCGCGATATTCAAATATATTTTTTTTATATTGAATAGCAATGAATGGCAGCATGTTTTTTTCCTGTCGAGCATATTTGTCTCATAAATTATGACCGAATGACTTTTGTTCCTTTATGTATGCAAGGACTGACAAAACCATTTTTAGTTAGTATTTTGGCCTTCTTCGCGAATGATTTTTCATGCAATTAAGTAGTTTAGTTTTGCAAATTTTCATTTTTGGTGCGAATTTCTTTACTATTTTTTTTTCTCAGCAGCATCAATGTGACAAGAACAACTTGCGTTAAAATATTCGCTTGAATAAATTGTAGTCTTTTGTGGTTTCATATCGTAGGCAAAAGCATTGCTGCAATAGAAACGGATAACATCCTCTTGAAGCTCCACAATTAAATTAAGATCTCGAATATACACGAATAGAGGCTTTGACATTGTTTGGCCCTTAATAATGCCACTTAGCAAACATTTCGACGGATTTTGCCAGCGCGTAGACGAAGCTAACGGAAATTTGAGGATATTGAGCAAATAATTATCAGACAATGGCGGCTAACTTAATGAAAAAACCCGAGAAAATTGAACTGGAAGGTGTCCTTTAGAGGTTTGCAACATCAGCGATTGCTACGTTGCCATAAAAATCCCTCAATGTTTACAGTTTTATTAAATTCCAGAGCCAAAAAGTATGAGTAAGCAACTATTCCCGAATCGGAATAAACCTGAAACCAGCCGGCCGTAGAAAGTTGGATAAAGGCCAGCCTAAAAACAATATGCGCTCCATAGGGGTTTATGGGCAACCATCCCGGAATATTAGAGCAGCTTCCAATAATTTAATATAGAATTATTAAAAACGTGTCTGACGTCTGATCCAGTTTTTCCCCTGGAGGGTTTATCCTCTTAATCCAATCCTGAGTGAGGCTAAATAAACCAGAGTCCGGATGAAATAAAAATAGCTCAAACTGTTCACTCTTACCTCATCAAATCTCTTTATAAGAGTGCCAATCGATGACTTGGATGTTGAGGAACTTTGTGCAGAGCAATTGGCCTCAGAGGTACCAGTGGTGCCACCCAAATCGGCCGTCACCTGCCGCAGATAGTCGATAGGTGGAACCTAAAAAGCAAACAGCCCCTTTTTATCACCGCCCTTATTTAAAGGTGTTTTTGTTGTTGCCCTATAAATGTCTAAGTGAGCAAAAGTTAAGGCCATCAGTTACAGTTTGGCATACGTGGGCCATAAAACTTCACGGTGCACCTATGTGGAAACTCAGTTATGGGGAGTTATGCGAGTGTCTGGAATACAGTCGCCCTTAAAGGGAATTCGCATTATTCACTTGAAATGATTTAGCATCTGCTTATGGAGCTGGTAAAGTTCATGTAGTTGTTTGCTCTTGCGAGCAAATGCAATCTCCATTGCGCCATTTACTTTAATCAATGTGTTTGGAAAAGGGCAACTTATGCGAATGCACCGGGCCAGAATCTGCAAGATGCTTGAAACTCCTATAAGACCTTTATTCCACAAAACGCTCAAGTTGGCACCCACAAAATTTGGAAGAATCGGATATAAGAAAATTTCAGTATGGCGTCACTGCCAAATAGATTGGGACAAACTAGACTTAAGTTAAATGAGCAATTTGTTGATGCAGAAGTCGAGGCGATAGCCGCCAGAGGCACGAGACTGGCGAGAATGTAGCGAAGAACTTTTAACTAATTAGATTTCGCTCCCAAAGGGCCTCAATCAAATTTAAACTCAGCAATTTGTTGCCGCAGAAGTTGAGCCCAACCCTCTGGACACGGCACTGCTTTACCAGGAAACCATCAAACACTTTGAATGAAGAAAAATGGTACATGGCCCATGATTGGACTATTGCAAAACTCTCATTGGAAGCTTGAAAGAAATATAGAAAGTGTCCAAGAGTGGAGACGAGTTTAGTCCTAACGTTTCACTAGCACGCATGGCCAGCATCTTCAGATATGTTCTCGCTTCAGATGCTCACAAGCAGAAGTCAACACTCTGATTCGAATGAATTAAATTAAACTGCCTTTGCCAGTCAGGAATGTAGTTGTGTCGGTTCAACATCGGTTCTCTCAGTCGTACACATAGGATTCTAAGGGAGATGCAAGATGAACTGTCGTTGCTACGTTCCAATTTGACACGTTTGCGGCTAGAAATATATCAGTCTTGGGCGCGATAAATTGACAAATTTTGAAGACCCCCATAGAAATTATTTGAATAATTGATGATTTCTCGGCTATTTGACTCTGTGGATATAAATTTGTCATTAACTAAAGACCCGTTAAAATATGCTCGGAAATAATTCAGTTAATTCCGTATTTTAATCGCGAATCTTTGTTGGCGTTTGCAAATTGGCGTCATTCTTTTGGGGGTGTTTAGGGAGTACAGAAAAATAGTAAAAAAAGTGAAAGTAAAATGACAACTGGTGAATTCGACGAATGTCGACAATACGTCCTATTAAAGTTATAACTCAATTTACAATTAAACCCACGGTGAGTGAAGAAGAAGAAGGCCAGTAGCTTAAAAAAAAAAGATTTTGGTGCTTAGTGGTGAAAGGCAATTATAACTAAACTACACTAACAGAAAATTATTTTTGAAAATTTTATCAAAAGCATTTGCGACTGAAAATCCGTCAACAAATCAAGAAAAAACTTAAACAAATCATTTCGACATCCATTTATTAAGGAGACTTCATCCAAAACAGCGGAGTGCATCAATTCGGTAACAAAATATCTATAACAAAGTAGAAAAAAGCCCATTTCCATGACATGTCTGAACGTTCACTGTATGTTCCATTTGATAATGCACCGCAGCCAGAACGGAATAATAATGAAACAAAACGCGAAACTGCAGTACAAAGCTGTCCTGCATAACGAACTGTAGCGCATAACAACCAGTTTATATAAATGAAATGGAAGGAAAATGAATAAGAGCGAGTATTTTTTGTATTTTTAACTCGCAAAGCTGCAACATATTTGCCGGGATCGTTATCAACTGGGATCTGAGGAGTTTACCTGGTAGAAGAGTTGGTATTCGCTGTCGGCCAATCGAAGAGCGACTTCTTCAGGGAAGTGGAGCAATTCCTGCAACTCCTCCAGTTCTGCGCAGTAGAGCGTCTGCGCTGTGAGAGGAATCCTCTTCTCCAGCTCTGGAAGACAAATTTTTGATGAATCTTCTAAAATTAGTAATGATGAACTAAAGTAGTCGACGAAAGTGCGAGGCTGTTAAATTTGATAAGAAAATTGAACCGTTTCAAGTAAAGTTTTCAACCATCAGGACTAATATTCAATTTTCTTTTCCCTGATAGTTACAAGATTAAATTAAGACGAGTTTAGAGTAGTTTTGGTCTTGCGTTGCTCTTCACTAAACATTAGCATGCAGACCAATCAACATGTTCCCATGTGTTGCTTCCATATAATTTACTTTAGCGCTTGGAACTATCCAATAAAAGGCGCGTTCAATTTTGATGAATTCTATATGGAAGCCAAGTTATGGATCGGTGTTTATGTCCCTCATAAAAATTCTTAGTCTAGTTTGCTGTTGAGGCACGCCTTTGCATAACCAACCATTTATGGCGTCTTGGGAATTTATCCATTGCATGCATTATTAAATCGAGCTGGTTGACTGTCGCCATTGTTTCGAAACTGCAGCCAGGGCAATTAGTTGAAAAACTGCAACAACGGCCCCGCTATAATACTTTATAGAGCTGGGCTATAGATAGAGAAACTATCCGAAATGAGGCTTTTGTCTTCGCGCCGCCACCAAGACAATTGCAATATCCAGGAAATGCATTCCAGACCAAACGAACTGCAAGCTCGGTTTTCCGGGAGGATTTTCGCAATCAACTTTTACAACAATTAGACAAACAATCCACATCCAGCATCCAGCTGAATAAAAGGCTTGTTTTGTCGCGGGCTTTGTGAACGACCAGAATATGATCAAAGTTTTACTTGGATATCACTGGAATTTGCCCCAAAGAGCTTTTGAAAAATGCTGGGGGTACCAGAAGTAGGAAAATGGCCAAGTTTTCAATCAAGCTTTGAAACCTGTTTAAGGAGCAATTAATGTAAAATGTGGAAACAACTGAAAGCAACTGAAACTCATTATATTAAAATCTAGTTTTCAATTCGCAATTAAGTCGCTAGCAACTCAACACCGCCTTGATCTAGTTTAAATTTAGCTTGCGAACTATGAAGACAATATCTGTTTATTACAACGTCTGTGCAAGGCAGCAATAAATTGAAGCATTTCTGTTTTTCCCCCCAAAAAAACAGCAGCCAATTATTTGCGCACACCTGCCAAATTCCCAACGCACGGCAATACTTCCGACTTACACAACTTTCATTGGCTCCATAGAAAGTTTTTCGCTTTTCTTATTCTCAAAAGGGCATTATCATGTAATAGAGTTTCGAGAGCTGCACTTGATTGAAATTGGAATCGACCGGCTCGATTCTATACTTTCAAAAGTTTGATTTTCAATTAAAAATCACAAAAGAATTTTATAATCCAGCTACACTTTTTTATGCGCCAAATGTAGAAATTAAATAGATTGTTAGCGCAAAAGTGTTAAACTGGTGAGTTTTTTACTTTTTAACGTTTTAGAGAGAAACTAGTGGGTTTTTCGAGCTTTTCCACGATGAGCTAAAAGCGCGAAAAACTAACCAGTTTCTGATGAATTTGTTGTGCCGAGACCTTCGGCAATAAAGCAAACCAAATAACCGAAAAGTCGTCAATTTTCCAGATAATTTCTTTGGGGCATGCAAATGTAATTCAAAAAGTGCAATCATTTTTTCGCTCAAAACTCGTAAACTTCTAGCCGCGAAGGTATCAAGTTGGAACGCAGCAACGACAGCTCATCTTGCATCTCCCTTAGAATTCGACGTGTATGACGGAGAGGCCCGATGTTGAGCCGCTACAACTACATTCTTGAATGGGAAACGCGGTTTAGCTTAATTGATTCGAATAAGAGTTTTGACTTCCGCTTGTGAACATCTGACGCGAGAAGATACCTGAAGATGCGCTATGCGTGCTAGGGAAACGTTAGTGCTGAACTCTTATCGATTACTGCCAATTAACCGCCGATTATTCATGGTTTTTCATTTCCATTCCGATCACTAAGAACACTCCAAGTTCAATGGCAGTCAACCAATTATTCCAAAACTGATTGGAAAAATCGTAACTCTAAAGCTGCAGCTTTCTTGCAGAACAACTTGAAAATATGGACGTTTTTTCTGAGAGTTTCTCCTCAAATTACAGCGTGATTATGAATAATTTGTTGGCATTATGTGAAGGGACAGAATATTGTGCAAGGCCGTAATTCCTCGTTCAAGCTATACGAAATTATGGATAACAAGCTCGTCCTAATTTTAATCCAAATTTCTTGTACGTGGAAAGAGGCACATTATCGTTTCCTGTGGCAAATAAATGGAGAATTAACAGAGGCCAGATTGAGGGCCGTAAAACGAATTTTGCGCTGAAAAGGTGCCCTATTTGTAATATATTACAGTTTTATTTAAGGGCCCTTTGGGGGGCTGTAAGTGTAAACACGCCTCTTTGTTGGAAAGGCTTCTTTCATTCTGACAATGGTTCTAAACGGGTTTTGCCCTAATCAAAATCTCCATAGGGCTCATACGAAAATCCATTGCAAACCGCCCCCAAAGTACAACAAAGTTCCGGTTAAGATTGAGAAAAAATCGACATTCTCAGATTTTTTCCAGAACTCGACTGTCGGTTAACGCAGATCACACATTGGCGAAAGTTTGTCCACGTCGTTTATAAAACTTCCATGTCAGGATAATCTGTTGTGGGATATGCAACCGGCCCCGAACAGGATATTATCTGGAATCCTGTCAGGGGCCCAGACGGTTGAAAATTCCATAAATATTACGACCCCGCACGTACGGAATGAGTTTATCTCGTAATCATGATGCAGGGGATCGTCCAAATATGTCTCAATGCGAAGTTTTCACCACAAAGTTCTCTAAAAACAATGATTTGCCTCAAGTTTGTAGTTGTTTCTTAACGAAAAAAGAATTCCAAAGTAACGGCAATAATATTTCGGCGATTTTGATGTGGACGTTTCGCCAGTATGCATAGCTAGCATCCCCAGATGTGTGTTTGCTTCGGATGCTCACACTTGCAAGTCAACGCTCTGATTCGAATCAATGAAATAAATCTGAGCTGCCATTCAGGAATGTAGTTGAATCGGTTCAACATCGGTTCTCTCACTCGCATACATAGCATTCTAAGGGAGATGCAAGATCACTTGTGTCTAGCTGCGTTCCAACTTGACACCTTCGCGGCTAGAAATATAGCAGTTTTGGGCGCGATCAAGTTACAAAAAAATGACATTGATCATTGATTGATATAAATTTATCCCTAACAAGCTTCCTTAGTGGTCTGTCTCTCCATGTGGTAAATGTTCAAACATTGAGAACTCACAAAGATAAATGGACAAAGGACTGATAAAAACATCTGAACATACAGTTAAAACCGCTATAAAATGCAAATATGCGAATTCTGAAATGGAAACTTTGTGCAGCTTAAGGTTGGAGCCCCAAAGCCATAAATCATGGGCTCGGGGTTGGCTCAGCTAATTTTAAGGGCCACAGTAACCAGTAAAGGATAGAATAATCCCTGGTAAAAGGCCGGGAATAATCCGCATTGGCGAATATTTCGAGAATTTTTGCAAAATTAAAACCTTGACCTCGGAAAATGGGAATATGTGCATTATCCAATGAAAGGACCTGCCCATCCGCTAGAAGCGCGCAATTTCACTCGGCGAAAACCCATTCGAATCAGTGATCGTGTGCATTTCATCCAGAAGTTCAAATAGAAGCTTGTATGCAAATCGTGAGTTATTTCGATATTCGCATGGTAAAACTCTTGATCCGAACACCATAAAACGTGGCCAAATAAAATTATGCTGGGAAAATCGATCAAATGATAAATAAGCTCATGTATATAAATGAGCTATTGAAGCACTGTTACAATAGGATAGCGTTCTCCATAAATAAATATCATTACTTGCTTGTTATGAGGCAAAACGTATTAACGATTTGACTGGAAAACACGCACTTTTGACAACAAAAAAACTTTTTTCGGTTGATAAACATATTTCGTTTCGGATTGTAGTCGGATATTTCTGGAGATTTGATGTTTTAGTTTGGTACTAAATGCAGCATTTTCAGGGAACTTTCTTAAATAAATATCTCGACGCCAACACAAACAATCGGATCCAGGAACAGGCAAAAATATGCAGCTGCATTTTACGAAACGAGAGTTTTGCTGATTTTATTAATTCCCTGCAGCACAATCGAAGCATCTGATCGATCTGAATGTGCAAGTTTCCAGCTGAAATTATCAACGAAACTGAACGAATACAGTTGGCAAATCCAGATTAAGTTCACCTTCAAATCCGCCTCATTAATTATTCACTTCCCGCAGTTTGCTGGACCCTTTTTGCAATAAGCAGCCCCAATCCAATTCAATTCACAATAAAAATATCGCCTGAAAGTTTCGGGTGGAGGCCCAATAAAAAAGTGACATTATCAAATCGGGAGGAGGCTCGCATGCTCTTATTCTTCCTGTTGTACATCAAAATGGAATCGAGTGTTCCGAAAGGCCGCATTTCAGTTGTTCGAGAAGTGCACTTGACGGGGATGGCTTAGGGAATATCCCTGACAACATTCTGGATCTATTATTCGGAAGGACTTTCGCACGGAAAATCCCTAATCATCCCCCAAACACGTCGGGAAAACGGGTTTCTTTTGGATGCCAGGGGAAAGGTTTGCTGAGTGTTCGTTCTGGACGCAAGTGTTTGAGGTAACTAATGAGTGGACAGTGGCTTACCGTCAATGTAGGACAGGGAGAGCACATGAATGTAGGAACAGTCTCTCTGGAAATAGTTCCGTAGCTGGCAGTCTAGCTCACGCATGTCCCCAAAAGAGGACGGGCTGAGCTGCTTAGCAGCTCCGAGCTCATGTGATCTCGAGCCCTTTGACTTTCTAGGGCTCAGTCACTAAGTCAATGATATCTGCAATAGAAAATGCTCAACATTAACAGCGTTATGGGCAGATGCGATCTATATTCCGAAGACAAATATATACAAATACTTTGGGCCTAAGAGTCGTCCGTAAAGGTTAAGGCCTTTTTGTAATATTTGTTCTTAAAAAAAATTCTGCGAAACGCTGCTTTCTTTCGTAAAAGCGCCATTTAGGGCTCTCTCTAGGCGTGCAGAAATAATTGCTCTAGCTAAATCAGTTCCTGAAAAATGAGCGAAAAGGAGGCGCAAAACACGAAATTTGTTGCACATTGCAAATTCTCTATTCAACGGTGCGAAAACGATTTCTGTACCTCAAATGGTTCTTGATAAACGCTGAAAAAAGCGGAGTCATTCGATGTCGCAATGTTAAAAACAAGGGCGCAAAACTTAGATTTGTCTTCAAATTTGGGCTTTTTCCATGAAAACTGCCAACATTTTCCCAACCGATGCTTCAACTGGCAAACGCTTCATTTAGTTCTCCATCCAGGGGTGTAGAAATGAGCGATCCAGCTCAAGCTGTTTCTGAGAAATTAGGAGAAACGTGGCGTAAAACACGAAAATTTGGTCAAATCTTGCACCTAAATGTGTGCGATCTAAATTTCGCTTCTTGTGTAAAAGCTGGCTGAAGCTGAAGGACAACGAGCTTTGTGGCTCATGGTTCTTGAAAAACGCTGAAAAGTGGCGTCATTCGATTCCTTCCACGCAAAACCAGAAATTTTCTTGAAACTTGGACTTTTTTGTAAAAACTACCCACATTTTCCAAGCAAAGCTTCACCTTCTAAAAGCGCCATTGAGTGCTCTGTCCAAAGATCCAGAACTAAGCGATCTTGCTCAATTTGTTCCTGATAAATGAGCAAAGCGGTGGCGGAAAACATGGAGTTTTCGGCTAATCTTGCACGAAAAGGGTTTTAAGAAGCCTCTTAATCTGCATGTGTACAATTACGAGTTAAAGTTAAATTGCTTTTCCCTCTTTGCGATGCAAATGTTAAATCAATCTGAACTCAAGTACAATTTCCAACTTCCACTCCCTTCCAGCTGTGCACTCTTAAAGCCCTCTTTATTTCCGAAAGATAAAGTCACCTAATAAAGCCCGTTCCGTCCCTAATCGTCTCTGAAATGAGCTCAATTAATTAGCCCTTTTAAGCGAACGATTCCCTTCAATCGACTGACCATCAACGTTAAAACCGGCTTGGAACTGGACCACTAATAAATATGATTTCGCTCACGTTAAGCAAACCAAGAAAAAAAAATGGAGCAATAACGCAGCGGGAAATCAGTTAACTCCGACCCTCCATTTAGTAATAAACCCGGCTCCGGTCTATTAAATTTGAATATTTATATTTTCATCGCATCCCGTTAACTTTGGCAGGTTTTATTCTTTCAGGGAATTTTATGCTGGCATGTGTCTCTTTCGCAGAACCATGCGAGTCTCGTTTCATTCTCAATTTCATCAATCAGCGAAAGTTTCCCAACTAGCTCGACTTCGGGTTTATTCATTTTTTGCAAATCAGTCGTTTATCTAGAAACTTTGCCTGCTAAGCTCCAAAAGCATTGCTGGGCCTAAAGAAATGCGTATGTTACGCAAACAAAGAGCGTCAAATCAACCAATCGACGTTCGGTCTGCAAGGGTGTAAATTTGGTCAATTTAAGAGCGCAACCCACTCATAAAGAAGTTTCTAACCTGTGGGGCTTTGTTCTGGCTCAAAAAGCCCTTAAAACCGGGGTTAATAGTCTGGATGCCAGCCAGACACCAGGAACAGCCTGGATAAATGGGAGAAGGTCACGCAAGCGTCCAGAATCCGAAATTGAGCAAATATTATGTGAGCTAATGATAATACGCTTCACAATATTGCAATTAAGTTGAAGAGGAATCTGGGGCCGGGATTTCGACAGTGGGCCGCAATAATCGGACTAAGGGCTATGTAAAGTGAATATTGAAACTGGTGGGTTTTACGGGCTTTTCAAAATGAGCAAAAACTAAATGTCTGATGTTGAAATTTTGCTTTCTGGGTCAAAACTACTAGAATGTCTTCACCCATGTTGTTATAACTGAATCGATTTTTTAATTCTCTATCCAACGATGCCAAAACGAACTCTGTGGCTCAAATGGTTCTTGAGATACTTCGAAAAAAGCAGCGTCATTTTTGAGTCGATTTTGCCACACACAAAAAAAAGATGCAAACCTGCAACTTCGTGAAACCAAGACTTTTTTGAGAAAACTGCCAACATTTCCTTATCGATGGCGCACTCTCTAAAAACGCTATTTAGTTGT